CAGCACCAGCACCAGCAGCAGCAGCGACAGCGGCATCAGCAGCCACCGAAGGACCACCACGACGACGATGTCGACGATAATAATAAGAATAAGATGAAGAAGCAGAAGAACAACAACAACAACAACAACAACAACAACAACAACAACGAGGAAGCTGGTGCGTTTGCCGCCGCGAAGGGTGTGTCGTTCTTTTTTTGATTATTTTTTTGCCAAAAAACCTGCAGACCTCGATTTTTGGGTGGCATTCGTGAATGAGACATGTTTCTTGCTGTTTCGATTTTTCTGTTTTTTTGTCCCTGTTGCTTGAGGCTTTTTTGTGGCGGATTTGTCGCAAAAACCGCGGTCTTAATTGTTTATATTGGTTGGTTTTGGGTTAGTTTTGAACGCTTTTGTTTTGTTTTGTTTTGTGTCTGTGCAAAGACATCGTAGGTCCGTGCCACATAGAACATAACAACAGCAGCAGGATGCAGCAACATTCGTCAACAGATCATAGTTGTCATCGTCATCCTTATGCTTCTCCTCCTGATCACCATCGACATGAACATCATCGTTTCCTTCAGCAAGGTCATCATCAAAATCATCAGTTTCCTGACCAACATCTGTCTCACCATAATCAGTCTAAGGAACAGCATGAAGATGTTTATGAGCACCACCATCATCATCATCATTAACCATCATCATCATCATCATCATCGTCATCATGAGCTTGTCAGTCTACTTTGAACCCTAGAGTGTAGAGCAAGAGGTACTGCTTGCACAGTGGTAAGCGACTGTGACACAGTTGAAGTTCTCACTTCACAGAATCTGCCAGATGTTCTTCGGGGTTTTGCGGCCTGGATGTACCACGGCAGGCACGAGGTTGGCAAGGACGACCTAAGCGACCTAAGCCTCACCAATGCAACAGCAGGCATCATCACCGATACCATGACACCTCTCATCGTCATCATCCGAAAAGCATCCGCAGCAGCAGCATCTTCATCATGTAACCGTCATCAAGGGCAGGACAAACGTGACAGCACCATGCAGTGCGAAATGCTAAATTCAACAAGCAATTACAAAACAGATGCAGCCGCCGCAAAAAGGGATCCGAAATGAAATGGAGCAAATCATTGCCATGGACGGTAACATGTCCCACCCCCCCCCCACGAAAGCAAACGAACAAACAAGAAAAACATAAGCGACTATCACAAGTCGCATCGCCATGGACGTTAACACCCCCCATCCCCCCTCCCCAGCCCCAAAGGAAACCAAAGAGAGGAAGATAAACGAGACGGCAGACGAAAGCCACAGACGAAACCAGCCGAGTTGCAAGCCAAAAACAGAAACGGAGAAGGCACGGAACACCGTAAATTCCGATAGACATGCAAATGTGCAAAAACCTCGGGTTTTTTCTATGAAGGCACTGTAAAATCCGATGCGAAAGCCAAATCGCAGATGTGTTGTCCAAACTGCAACGTGCCAAAACTCGAATTCTGGCACATTGCAGCCCCGAAATCGATGCACCCTACGCGGCGGGCATACGCGCCACCTGCCACCTGCCAACAACATCAACAACAGCAACAACAATAGCAACAACAGAAACTAGTTACTACTACTACTACTACTACTACTACTACTACTACTACTACTACAGAAATTAGTCAAAGTTACTACCACTGCTACTACTACTACTACTACTACTACTACTACTACTACTAATCCCCGACGCACACAACAGGGGCCTGCCCCCTGGTGATAGCTACCAGGCATTGTTCGCAGATGGTGTGTCCGCAGGGGAAAACCTTCCTGGGATCTCGGCTGGCTCTCGAAGGCTCGAACATGTCCGTAAAAAAGTTAGATGCCTTTTAAATCCAAAAGGGGTATGTATGTATATGGATGGACAGATGGATGGGTTGAAGGAGAAATGGATGGATCTGTATATGTTTATGTACATGTACAGGTATATGTATAGATGTATATGTGTATTTACACCTGTGTAAATTTACCTTGGTGCATATGTCAGTATGTGTAGATGTCGAGAGTCCAGTGGTTCTGGGCTAAGGTCGCCTAAGAGTGGGCGCGCCATGTGTCAAGAATCTAGGCTCAGTGAAATGTGGTCAACTCACCTCTGGCCTAAACTCCCTCATTACTGTAGGGTTTGGTGTTGACGAAGTAAAGTCCTGATGCATCAAAGCCCCTCGGGCAATGCCTTCAGCAACATCTGATTCATTTTCGTAAAACCCTGATAAACGCGCAAACCGAGGCGAGCATCGGCACGTGGAATCCTTCGCTGTCCGTGTAACGGTTCAGACATATGGGACAGTCCATGGCGCTAGGCAAACCAGGACTGGTGCCAGGTGGTTTCTACAGCACGCACCAGTAATGACAATAACCACAAGGATAATAGCAACAATCTTAATAATTAGTGGCAATGTTCTACAGAAAATAACACTACCGGAAGTAACAATATTGAAATTCACAACAGTAACAAACAAAACCTCAAGCCTAAACAAATTGGAACGATCATTACCTCTCTCCTAAGTCCATGCCTTGTATTCTTGGCCCACAAAAGCTGGCATTGCACGAGTCAACATCCAGGCGTAACATAACGCAACACCCGAATCCGTAAATCCTGAAACGTAGTGCTCAAGCCCACGATGCACGCTGTTTCTTTGTTTGGGGCAGGCTCGAAGCCAAAGCAAGCCCCAAAATTGATGTAGATCACCGATCAATACGGACATTCTCTGTTCAACAGTCTTTAACAGCCCTGGAGACTGGATTTCCTTGTTGGGTGTTGGAGTTCGGGGCTCAGGGTTTAGGGTTTGCAGTTCACGGCCCTGTTGTTGATGAACTGGGGTTGTGGTCATCGAGGCTTCAGACGGCCTTCTTGTAGAACGAGGTTTCCGCACGGAAACCATGATTTGCGGGTTAAGGCTTGGGGCTTCAGGGATCGAAAGCCTTGGGCCCATGCCTTTGGCCCCAAAGTTGCGAGACGTAGGGTGATACCCTGTGAAGGGCCCGACAAACCGTCTGGATGAAGCCCAAACCCTACGTCCTGAAGCGCATCCTGCACAGTCCCTAAACCTTACACCGTATAGCCAACGATGCCCCCACAACCCCGGACTCCAACACCCAGCTTCGAGTCACAACAGCAATGGCCGCCAGGTGAGCAGAGGGATGCCCACGCTGAGCTTAATCAGAGCTTTATAGGACTAAATACGAGTTTGGGCCTGCGGTTTTCGTGTTTTCGGTGGGTTTCAGGTTAGGGTTTTGCGGAATGGGGCCTTAATAAGAGCTTGAGGCTGCTGGCATTTTATGGTTCCTTTTTCCGAAAAGGACCTGAAAAAAGTATGAATCTTTAATTAACAAGTACGATTTGAGACGTACAGCTTAGGGCTTCAGCCTTGGGGCTTTATAGTGTTTTGAGTTGTCAAACTTTGCACCCAGTTCATTCCCTCTTGCGAATATATGTCTGCACGCTGATTAGTTTATGCGAGGGTTGTTAGGCTTTGAGGAGGCGCGCCGTGTCTTTTGTAAGATGTCTTCACTCACAGGCCCTCGTTCTCAGCTGAGGAAACATAACCTTACAACTCGACTTTGCGAGATCCGGAAGTGACATCTATCTCAAACCGCATGCCCGAAACCCCGACACTCTCAAACGGGATCTATCTTTCTATGTACGCATACTGATATGAATGAACATGTCCCGTACTGTGCCGAAGCACAGCACTCGCTACAGGCCCATGCCTTGATTCGTAAGGCCCTGACACCGCAACGGTTTCAGCAGTTTATGGCAAAGCTGCAAACCTAAAGCCTACTTTAGCCCCCAAGACAGCAAAGCCCTACCTGACATGCAATGCCTAAGACTGAGCATGAGCATGTTGGAGAAATGATTGTATTACTGTGTAATTACTGTGTAAGGCCGGTTGGTCGAACAAGTTCCAAACCTTTCAGGCCCTTGTTTTAACCCGCTTTTTCGAAGCCATGAGCTCTCCGATGCAATCGCCTCTTTGGTGCGCATCCTGCGAATATAAAACGCCGCAAGGCCGAAGGGCGCGACGAAAACAGGAAGAAGAGTTTGAGGTAATAGGTTCGAGATACTCTAGTTTTGGGATTTAGGTGGGGCTGAGGGAAGGCTTTGGGTGAGGGTGCTAACTGATGACCTACAAAATCATAATGATCTTGGTCTTGCCCATAGTGTTTGTGAGGAGGAGGGTGACTGGCGGATCGTCTATATCCGGAAATGACTAAGATATCAGTAGAAGATCATTCACTGGAGTCCAAGTCGTCGCTCCGGCTCATGAAAGTTGTCAGAAACCTCCACCCACATTGAATAGGATAATGGCAAAAGCCTCAACAAAAACAAGGAGCACCATGCAGACCTGACATATATATTGCGCGGCATGCTCTATATCCGAAACCCGCCCAGACAGCCCTAAAAATCCCGCTAGGACCCTAAAGAAACATCAGACTAATCCTATGACTGCGAATAAGATACAAAAGCACCCGTTTTTGTTAAGCCCGGAGACCTTGCGGGGCGTCGGAGAACGTGGAGGAGGACCCTCCAGAGAAGGGAAAACCAAGGCGCACTGGACTGACAGACCCGCTTCTCCCTCTGGAGCTCGGAGAGTGGCGAAAAATGACGGGACTATAGGGTTTTCGGTAGCATCAGACAACAAAGATAAAGCGGCCGCTATGCGATTAGATTGGTGATTCTTTATTTAAAAGGGGCCCGAATCA